GGTGCTGCCGCTGCTGTGCGGAGAGCCTGGGCGTGCGCTGGTTCGCAGGCGGGCCTGCGGGTGGGCAGGGCTCTGCCCCTGGGCCCAGCAACTCGATCTCTTCCTCTTCCCAGCTGGGAGCCGCTTTGTTTGCACAAGAGGAGAACTTTGGACCCGCTGCCCTGACAGGTGCGTGCGGAGCAGCTGGCTTTCCGGTCTCCGGCTCGCAAGGGCTGCCAGCTTCTCCCCCATCGCAGCAATGGGGGCGGGGCCAGGAACGGGTCCTCTTCGAACCAAGGCCAAAGAGCCCAGGGGCTACTGAGCGCATGCAGCCCCTGCCCACAGGGCCGAGCAGACGTGCGCTGCTCCTGTAGCTGAGCCCCCTCGTTTGAACTGGGCTGTGCCCCTTCCTGCAGCCACGCCAGGGCTGGCTCCCCCCGGGATCGGGACCTCTCAGGGCTCCCTTGGGTATCTCCCTGTGCAAGCAGGTGACACCCCCCCCATCCCCGGCTTCAGGATGCCTGTGGACGCGTCCTCCTCCCTGCTCGCTCTGTGGCCCGTTTATTTACAGCCACGGCCGTTAGCGGCACAGCACAGCCCGGCCCGTTAGCTGGCGCGTGCCCCCGTCGGCACCGTCCGTGGGCTTCCTTGAGCCCGTTCTCGGCCTGACCCCTTCCGCGGCCGCTGCCGAGGGGTCCCCTGCTAAGGCTGAGCACAGGGTGGGGTCTGCGGGGCGCTGCCATGTCCCCTCCCCACTTGGGCTGGCCCGGGAAGGATTCCAGGCCCCCGAGCCAGGGGTTAGTGTACTGCCCTGAGCTCCGGGTGGGGCGGCTCGGCTGCGCTGGCCTCTTACCCGAGGCCGGGGGGATGCAGGGATTAGCCCAGCTCTCCCGCCCTAGCTGTGCGGAGCCGGCTCTGGGGCCGAATGTGGTGGCAGCCAAGCCCTCGGCCTGGCCTGCTCTCGTTCACTCCGCCGGCTGGGTCCCAGCTGGAGGCCGGGGTGGGTGGGTGGGACAGGCGGATCTACCTAGAGGGGGCAGTGGCTGGCTGTGTGCACA